GCGCGGGGCTTGAACTCATGGACCACAAGATCGTGACCAGAGCTGACGTCAGACGCTTAACCCACGGAGCCACCCAGGCTCCCCTCATCTCCTTTCCTTTACTTTAAAAAAAAAAAAATTTTTTTTTATGTTTATTTTTGAGAGAGAGAGAAACAGACAAACAGAACACAAGTGGGGAAAGGGCAGAGAGAGAGGGAGACAACAGTATCTGAAGCAGGCTCCAGGTTCCGAGCCGACAGCACAGAGCCCGCCTTGGGGCTTGAACTCACAAACCGTGATATCATGACCTCAGGCAAGGTTGGACACTTAACCGCTGAGCCACTCAGGAGCCCCTCATCTCCTTTTCTTATAAGGACACCAGTCATTGAACTTGGGGCCCACCCTAAATGTAGGACGATTTCATCTTGAGATCCTTCATTAGTTACACCTGCAAAGACCCTATTTCCAAATAAAGTCACATTCTGAGTTCTGGGTGGACATGAATTTGGGGAGGGGAGGGACACCATTCAATTTTCTGCAGTGCCTTTGTGAGAATTTTTAAGAGTACCACTTTGGGAAGATGCAGGCCCTACTTATTCCTTGTGCAGTGCACAGCCCAAGTACACGAACACGGCAACCCTGCTTGGCTCCTCACCATGTCCCCTCTCCTCCCATGCCCAAGAAGAAGCTGGGTGCCTCTGTGGGAGCCACATCCAGGGAGATGCCCCCTTCCCCACCCTTCTCTGGTCCAGAACCCTGCCAAGCAGTGTCCTGCCCCCCCCCCCCCGCCCGCCTTGTCTTGGCAGGCGCACATGGAGGCTGTGCATGCAGATTGGAAGGAGTACCTGAACCTGCTCATCTGTGAGGAGAGTCACCTGAAATACATGGAAGACTACCACCAGGTACACCGCCAGCCGTGAAGCACCATTGCTGGGAGCACTCAGTGCCTACCTGGCTTACTCGTGGCCTCAGCTCTGATTCCTCCAGGAGCCTCCCAGTGTCCCTGCTTTTGATGGCATACGTGGGTGTGCCCCCAAGCTTGCTGGGCCCTGGTCTGTCTTCCCTGGAGGACAGGGCTGGAGAATCTGATTGACCAGCCCAGGAATGAGTGTGGGGTTTTCATTTTGATGAACTATATATAATGTGAAATTTGCCATCTTAGCCGCTTTTAAGCACACAGTCCAGTGGCTTAACATTCAGAGTGTTGTGCAGCCTTCACCTTGGAAAGGTTTCCAGAACCTCCAGACAAGAAGTCTGCACCCATGAAACAACCCCTCCGTTCTCCCTTCTCCAGCCCCCTTGCTCTTTCTCTCTGAATTTTCCTAGTCTACATTTTTGTGAAAGTAGACTCACATGTTATGTGGACTTTGGTGTCTTTGGCTTCTTTCGCTTGAACCTGTTTTCGAGGGTCATCGATGTCATGGCATGAATCACAACTTCATTCCCTTTTATGGCTCAACTGTATTCCATTGTATAGGCAGACCACACTGTGTTCGCCCCATTCCTTGTTGGCGGAAACTGTCTGATTTCCATAGGAATGTGGTTTTTTTTTTTTTATAACATTTTTTTATTATTGAGAGACAGACACAGAGCATGAGCAGGGGAGGGGTAGAGACAGGGGGAGACACAGAATCCAAAGCAGGCTCCAGGCTCCAAGCTGTCAGCACAGAGCATGACGCAGGGCTCGAACTCAAACTGTGAGATCATGACCTGAGCTGAAGTCGGTCTCCTAACCAACTGAGCCACCCAGGTGTCCTAGGAATGTGTATTTTTAACAAGAGCTGGTCACCTCATTCTGAGGACTGGGGACTCTGGAACTCAGGTGGCATTCCTGTAACTCCTGGTTCAGTGTCTAGACCCCCACTGGGCTGTGAGCTTCACAGGGATCCCTAAGTCCTGTTCGTGGTCACGTCCCAGGGGACAGCTGACCAGGAGTGGTTTCAGAGCGGATGGACTGGAAAATGGACAGGAGAAATTTCTAGAGCAAAGTGGCAAGGCTTGTCTTCTGTGTATCGGGACTTTAAAAAGTGTAGCATTTAAGTCAGGGTGTCCCTAGCCCAAAGAGAGGAATGGAACAGAAAAGAACCGAAAGCTTAACGGTATGTATATATGAAAACTTAGTACGTCCTGGAGGTGGCCTCATGGGGGTTGGTGGGAGGGGCCCTGGTCCAAGAGGCCACCCGGAAGCCGACTGGGGGAGGGGGGGGTCTCTGAGCTGTGGAGAGTGGGGCAGGGACGGCCCTGCCTGGGCACGAGCTTGCAGCCATAGCCGGATTGTGTCCGTAAAAGGGCCATCTGGTGTCCCCTAGTTCCACAGGGATGTGAAGGCTGCTCAGGAGCTGCTGTGCAAGGTGGACTCAGACCTGAACCAGAAATACAGCCCCGACTTCAAGGACCAGTACCAGATTGAGCTGCTGCTGCGGGAGCTGGATGTGAGTGACGGGCCCGGCGAGGGCCTCCCCACGCCCCTCCCTGCACGTCTGGCCTGGGGAAGGCGGTGTCTCAACCCGGCCCTCCCCCTGCTGCATTCAGGACCAGGAGAAGGCTCTAGACAAGTACGAGCGTGTGGTGCAGGGCCTGCAGAAGCGAGGGCAGCAGGTGGTGCCGCTCAAGTACCGCCGGGAGACGCCGCTCAAGCCCATCCCCGTGGAGGCGCTCTGTGACTTTGAGAGCGACCAGGTGAGCTGCTGCACAGGTGCCCCTGGAGCCCTGGGCGGGCTGGGCCCAGAGCTGCCCCTTTCGTGTCGCTGAAAGGTCTTAGGAGTTGTAAGGCTGGATTCAGGGCCTCACACCAGTGTTTTCTAGGGACCTGTGTCCGTCTCTGTGGTTGGGGTCACTCTACCAGTCCCCCGCAGAACCCCACCAGTTGCCCTGCTCCTCTGTCCTACCAGCTTTAAGTCCGGCGTCCTGCCTAAACCAATCACTGTGGCTGGCAGGTGCCATTCTCTCATTGGCCGGGCCTGAGCCACATGTCCAGCCTGAGTAGTCGGGGACTGTGGGAAGGGGGGTTCCCCAAAGGGAAATCCAAGCAGATGTTGAGACAGCAAATTTAACACATCCCCGTGCAGCTGTACCCTCCCTAGTCTCTATGCTGAAATGTCTTGGGGAGGGCCACAGAGATGGGCTAAGACCCGGGCGGTGGGGCAAGATGGCAACTGGGCCCCTGGTCACTGGCCAGGGCAGGTCTCTCCATGCCTTCTGACTGGCCTGCCCCTGCCAGGGCCTCATCTCACGGGGCTACAGCTACACCCTGCAGAGCAACAACGGGGAGAGCTGGGACCTCACGGACAGCACAGGCAACAAGCTGACCGCCCCCGCCGTCTGCTTCGTGATCCCCCCGACTGACCCCGAAGCCCTGGCTCTGGCCGAGAGGTAACAAGGCCAAGCGGGGAACCAGCGTGGACTGGCCCCACCCTCTGGGCCCCTCAGGCCCCGTTCACAGCCCTGGCATCCTGACTCAGCCTCAGGAGGCAACTACCACCCCCCCACCTGCACCCCCTTGGGGGCTCAAGTGGGACAGGAGCAGACCCCTTTGGCCAGGCTGACCTGCCACATGTGAACGTCAGGCTGTAGGCGGCATAGCCAGCGAGCAGTTTCTCTGCAGGTGCCTCTGGGCCTTTGCATATGCTGTTCCCTCTGCCCAGACACCTGCTCGAGGTCTGGTTGGCTCAGGCCTCTTGAATTAAGACAGCTCCTTGGTTACCTCTTCTGTGAAGAGCTTACTCCCCTCCACCCTGGCTCCAGGAAAAGCGTTGCCCACTCTTGGGTCCAGCACCTTCTCCCACTGCACATTCTGCCCCTTATCATCACCCTGTGTGTCAGTCTCATGTGGGGAGGGGCTCCTGGGGACTTAACTGTCTCTAGGGCCTCGTTCAGTACTTGGTGCATGCAAAGTATGTACCCAAGAACCCTTTGTTAAATGAGTGATTCAGGAATGCCTTCGGCAGGAATCCATTCGGCACGTATTTACTGAGCACCTACTGTGTACTGCTACCTCAGGAGTAATGTCTTGGTGGGGAAGACAAAGGAACAAATGATGACTTTAGGTAGTAAAACCTGGTATGAAGAAAAGAAAAGAGGCTGAGTCACGATGCCAGGCCTCCAGAAGCAAAGAGCCGCATTGTAGCAAATTTTCCATGTCTTCCGGGTTTTAACTTTTCAAACCACTTCCACGAGCCTTGTGACTTCTCTGGGCCACACCCAGCCACAACCTGGAGTCCCGGGTCTGTAAGCACAGGGGGCAGTGGGCTGCCCCAGGCCCCCAGCCCATGTTTGCACCCACAGCTTGGGCAGCCAGTACCGGAGCGTGCGGCAGAAGGCAGCCAGGAGCATGAACGCACTCCAGCAGCGGCATGAGGTGCTGAAGGCAGAGAGCCCTGGAGGTGGGTGCCAGGGCCACTGTCCCAGGCTCTGGGCAGTCTGTGCTGCAGTTGGAAGGGCAGGGGACAGGCAAGGCAGGGGTGAGGGAGGCTGGGGCAGCCCCAGAAGGCCCCGCTTGGTCTCCTAGGCCCTGTCCCTGCGCCTTGCTCCCCCCATCCCCCCGCCGCCACCTGACTGCGATTTCCTTCCGGCAGATGCCTCCGACCAGCAGGGGCGGCATCTGTTGGCTGGCTTGGACAAGGTGGCCAGAGATCTGGACCGGCAGGAGAAGGCTATCACGGGGATCCTCCGGCCGCCGCTGGAGCAGGGCCGGGCTGTGCAGGACAGCGCTGAACGGGCCAAGGACCTGAAGGTACTGCCAGACTGGTCTCATCTCGACGGGGACCACCTGCCACGTCACCAGAAGTCCTGAGTGATGGCGGTGAGGGGAGCTGTGCTAGGCTGATGACCGAGGAGATGCCAGAGCCCTGGTGCCCCAGACACCGCCCCAGGACAAAGGGCAGGCGAGGTTCATGCTGCCCCCACACAGCTTGCCGCTCGTGGGCTTGTGGCAGTGTTGATGACACTAGTGACCGGCCCCAGCCGCACGGGGCCACACGCCGCTTCGGAGTTCCGGAGCCGCGTGCTGGTTGCTTGACCACAGACCTGCTATTCAAGCCCAGGCCTCAGTTTCCTCAGAGACAGTCAAGGCCAGAGGACGACGGGCACAGGGTAGGGGCATGGCCACGTCATGCCGCATCCCTTCCTAAGTGGTCATAGGGTCACCTGTGAATGGGGAGAGAAAAAGCACCCCACCTCATGGGGTCGCCCCCAAAGATGGATAAAATCATCCCCGTGACGTGCACCGAACAGGAGGTCTGTTGTCACACACCCTGCGTCACAATTCCCCTGGGTGCTCATTACGGGCTGGCTCCCCAGGGAGGGCTCAGGCTTCCTCAGCTGCTTCCTTTGTCCCACAAGGCCCCTGGAGGGAAGGGGGCTGCTGGGCTGTGGCCAACTCCAGGGGCTCTGGTCCCCACAGAACATCACCAACGAGCTGCTGCGGATCGAGCCCGAGAAGGCACGCAGCACGGCTGAGTGCCAGGACTTCATGCAGGCCCTCCCGGGCAACGGAAGCGTACCTCTGCTGAGGACCCGGGTCGACGACACCAACCGCAAATACGAGCGCCTGGTGCAGCTGCTGGACTTGGCCCAGGAGAAGTGTGTGGTGGGCGGGTGGCGGGCAGGTCGGGTGGGACTGTGGAGCCAGATGGGCACCCCTCACTCCTGACCCGTGTCATCAGGGTGGACGTGGCCAACCGCCTGGAGATGAGCCTGCGGCAGGGCTGGGAGGCACTGGCCGAGTATGAGACCCGGTTGACCCAGGACGACACGGTGCCCGAGGGCGGCCGGGCCCTAGACAGCAAGAGGCAGGAGCTGGTGGTGAGTCTGGGGACCGGGGCCTCGGGAGCCTTCCTCTCCAGGTGCCCCCGGCCTGCCAGCTCTGAACAGATGGGGACGGAGGCCCCGAGTCTCAGGGCAGTGAGTCCCCAGGTTTTGAAAGGCTGCAGTGTGCCAACTCAGAAGTTGCGGCTGGAGAGCTGTGGCATAAATCCCAGCTACTCCTGGGACCTGCGTGGCTTGTGGAAATCAGGTGCCGGTATCTGCATAATCCGCCCAGATTTCCAGGATCTGTGGGAGAGCAGATCCAGCCTGCGGGGCCCACATGCTCTGGGAGCACGTGGCTCCCCCCACCCCCAGCGTCTACTTTACCTGCACAGTTGCCACGGGGCCACTTCACATGTCTGCCCGCCTGACTCCTGAGGGCACACGGGTCCGTGGGCCCTTAGGAGGCTGCTTATTCACACACCAGTCCACAGAATCCTCGCTCTGTGCTGAGATTCTCACCTCAGAGCCAAGGAAACTGGCTCAGACAGAAAGCCTCTGCCCAGGCCTTAAAGTTGGAAAGCAGCTGGCCACTCTCGTCCTGGGCACATGCTGCTTCCTGCAGGGTTTTTACACGTTAGTTTTTCCGGCTGGTGTTCCCGGCGACGGAACAGAACGTTGCAGAGATGACCACCACATTTAATGAGAAACACAGAGGCAAAACCCCTGTCCTTCTCCTCCCCAACCCCCACCCAGGCTTCCTACCCCCAAAGCCAGAGGCCTCAGGCAGCTTGGGTGGTGCTGCCCTGACCCCCACCCCGGGGCTCTGACCGCAGCGCCCACCTTCTGCCTCTCCGCCCCGACAGGCCCTGGCCTCTGAGCTGCAGGCCCAGGAGTCCCTGCTCGGTGACGTGGAGCAGAACCTGCAGGCAGCCAAGCGCTGCTCCAGCTCCCTGGCCAGCCGCTTCCAGGAGCACTGCCCGGACCTGGAGCGCCAGGAGGCTGAGGCGCACAGGCTGGCCCAGCGCTTTGACAACCTCCGCCAGCAGGTGGAGCTCAGGTGAGTAGCCGTGGCCGGGCGGCAGCCTCTGCCTAGCTCGTGTGCTGTGAGGCTGCCGCAAGTGGTTTGCTTTCTAGATTTTCCCATTTTGGAAAAAGCAATCCATCTGCACAGTAAAAACCTCAAGGTGATTACAACGACCAGCCCCGACCCCAAGGCAGGCGTGGCTACCATTTTGTGTACACTTCCAGAAATGTTCTTGAGGAGCTGGCGGGTGGGGGGTGGGGGCCGTGACATCAGTGACAACACAGCACATACACCGCATCTTGCTTGTTCCTGTCCTATGTCCTGTTGGTCTCAGGAGTCCCTAAGTGTGACCTCCTCTTGTGTCTTCCGGAAGAGCTCCTGTAGAACAGATCCCGCTCCCCCTTCCTTCGGTGCTGGGTACAGTCCACCAGGGGAGCAGCCATGCAGGCCTGCAAGCGGCTTTTGTGTGTCGCATTTTAACTACAAATTCAGCCTCTTTAATTGGTATTGGACTTTTCTGGGCCATCTGCCCTGGGAGGCAGGTCCAGTAGCTTGTGTCTTTCGAGGAACTTGTCCATCTCATCACGTAGTTGAATTTAGTGGCATAAAATGGTCCTTAATATTCTGATTTTCACTGTTCACAGGACTTGAGGGGATGTCCCCCGCCCCCATTCCTGATGTTGTACCTTTCCTCGTTCTATTTGTATATACATCCTCTTTTTGCTTCCTGATTCTTCTGAGGTCTATCAATTCACTGCTCTCTGTTGCTGTTCTCTTTCATGGGCATCTGTTCGTTATTTCCTACTGCTGCTTAGGTTTGCTCTTCTCTTTTTTTAAAAAAATATTTTTTTAATGTTATTTTTGAGAGAGAGACAGAATGAGAGCGGGTTGGGGCAGAGAGAGAGAGGGAGGCACAGAATCTGAAGCAGGCTCCAGGCTCTGAGCTGTCAGCACAGAGCCCGACGCAAGGCTGGAACTCAGGAATGGTGAGATCATGACCTGAGCCAAAGTGGGACGGCCAACCGGCTGAGCCACCTAGGTGCCTCAACTGCTCTCTTTTCAAGCAATGTTTAGGTTATTCTATTAGGTTATATTTGATCCCTCCTGCTTTTAAAACATGAGCAAAGAGGAGTTCTTTAAAGAGAGACAGGAGGCATCTTCTGACTGCGGCAGAGGCCTGACAGGCTTTCCTCCACAGGGCCCAGAGCCTGCAGCATGCCAGGGCCGCGTATGACGACTACCGCAGCGGCTACGACCACATGCTCCAGTTCTTGTCCCACATCCCCACCTACGAGCCCCAGGAGACAGACACCCTCAGCCAGATGGAGACCAAGCTGAAGAATCAGAAGGTAAGGCGGTTGCCTCCGTGTTCACAGGTCTACAGTGGCATGGGGGCTGTCGGAGGTTGGCAAGGTCCCTTAAGACCTCGGCCCTGCTTGGCTGCCAGCACCTAACTCTGAGAATAAGAATGGCCTCGCTCCTGCCTCAGTGCCCAGCACAGGGCCTGGCCCAGAGTGGACAGTCCACATAGGCTGGCTGAATGAGCAAATAGCTACAGCAACACATGAGGAGCCCTCGTGGTAAAAAAAAAAAAAAAAAAAAAAAAAAAAAAAAAAAATCCCGTTTCCAAAGTTCCGAGTCCTGGTTGGCTGGAAGGCAGCAGTGTCTTGGGAGTGAGGGACACAGGACCCCAACAGCCTAGATTCAAACTCAGGTTCCAACCCTAATGGCCATGTCCTTGTGGGCAAGTCAGTGAAGGTGACTATGCCTCAATTTCATTACTCGTAGACTGGAGATAATGATAGCACTTACCTCACAGGACAACTTCAAGATAAAATGAGATCGAAGATATTAGAAGAGTGCCTGACATTTCGAAGCACTCCATAAATACTGGTTTCCTGGCAAAGACAATGATCTTCCTGGCCCTTCTTCACAGGGTCAGAGAATTGCCTTTTGTGACCAACAACTGTATACAAGGAAGCCGTTCATGAAACTTTGTACTACAGAAGTTGAATTTCAGATTCTGAGGAATCCAGCTACTCTGTCAAGGGTTGTTTTTGTTGGTTTGTTTCTTAATTTTTTATTTTAAAAGTCTCTGTTGTTTTACAGAACCTGCTAGATGAGATCGCAAGAAGGGAAGAGGAAGTCCAGAAAGTCTGCACCTCCTCCCAGCAGTACCAGCAAGCTGTCAAGGTGAGCCGGGAAGTTCCTGCCGAGTGCAAGACAGCAGGGCCTCGTCCTGTCAGGAGGGCCGGACAGAGAAGGGCTAGACCGGGGGGGGGGGGGGGGGGTCGTCCTCGGGCACTGCGGGCAGCCCTGGGAGCGGGCACAGCCCTTTAGGAAAACTGTGTGTCCCAGATGCTGAACACCAGAGAAGGGATTGCTACTGCTTGAAGCAGTAAACAGGGAGAATTTATCCCAGAGGAAAAACAAAACAACAATGGAGGATAAATAAAAATCTTCGTAGCAGCAGCTATTATTCACAATAGCAAAAGAAAAAAACTAGAAATATCCTACATGGCCGATGGATTACGGAGTCAGCAAAGGAATAAAGGGGATCTGAGGCAGCAGGAGAACCGGCTCAAGTGCTGTGGGGAGAGAGCAGAGCCCCACACTCGGGGCCCCGAGGGGGCTCTGTCTGGGGCGGGAGGGCACTGCACGCCTCCTTTCTGTCGTGTCCTGGGTTGTTGAGGGACACAGCTCTGGACAGCCGGCATGTAGATGCTTCTCAGCACCTCCTGGCCGTTACTATAGTACGCAGCCGTGCAGACCTCCAAAGTCCGCTACAAGGGGCAGAAGAACACTTCTGTCTCTATTGCGGTTGTCTGCCCTCCACCATGTCTTTCTCTCACCCAGGACTATGAGTTAGAAGCAGAGAAACTAAGGTCCCTTCTTGACTTGGAGAATGGAAGGAGTAGCCACGTCACCAAGAGAGCCAGGCTCCAGTCCCCCGCTGCCAAAGTGAGGGAAGAGGTGAGTGGTGCAGGCGGGCCCTGGGGGAGGCACGGCACACAGGCCTCAGAGATGCACCCCAACAGGGAAACGGGGCCGAGAGCCCTCGTGGGTGCTCGATAAGGTAAGACAGGTTTGGTTAAGAACAGATGGTAGACTTGTTCTCGGGCAGTGATGTGGATATACCTGGAAAGACAGCCTGCTGCAGGGATCTGGGAGGCTCCCACAGGACTCCTCCTAAGTAAGTACACGTGGAGAGCTGGGGTTACTTCCTTCCGCGTATGAGTAAGTGAAGGCTCCGAGAGGAAGACCTGCTCAGGGTCATGCAGACTTTCGCCTTCATGCTCTAAATCCAGTTCCTCCAGCAGCTGAGACTATAGTTCAATTCCAGGTAGCAAGAGACCAGAAGCTACCCTCTATCCCCAAATGCCAGACTTTTCAAACACGGTCCACCTCGCTGCTGCTCAGCCTGTTGACTCCTGTTTGCTGACTGCTCTCCCGTAGGAAGCGGCTCTTGCTGCCAAGTTCACTGAAGTTAACGCCATCAACAGACAGAGGCTTCACAATCTGGAGTTTGCCCTGAGTCTCCTGAGACAGGTAATGGATCTCCTACAGGTCAGACATTCTACTTCCCACTATTCCAGCAGGTAAGAAATCAGGCTCATTCTGCTCCCACAAAACAGTCCGTGAGCTGGTGGCAGTGTCCCTGGCTATCGGACGGCACCAGCGCAGGTAGTGGCCTAGCCAGCGCTTCTGTGAGCACGAAAGCAGCACGTATTCCATCCAGCAAATATTTGCTGGGTCCCCAGGGCAGGTAGCTTGTTTTCAGAAGCCCACGTCTGTCCGTCCATACAGTGGAAAATGAAGCAGGGCCACCGTGGAAGCCTCTGTCTGTACTGAGTGCACCAAGCAGGGTGCAGAACAGGGGACGACCGCTTCTGCAGAAAAAGAAACATGTGGCATGCACTCAAAATGTACGTCTCAAAGACGACAGCCTCTGGGAACAGGACCGGAGGTAGGATGCTCTGCCATGGTCGTCAACTACTTTACTGTTCAAAAAACCTAAACTATTTGTTTCACCATCTTCTAAAGTAACCCCGGAACTCAGTGAACTCGACACCGAGGGAGCCTCGGGCGTCACAGGGTCTGACCTTTCCATGGGGGACTGAGGTGCGCTCCGACCAGGTGGGAACAGGCCAGGCCGCGCATTAACCACGCACTGTCTTCTCCTTCTCAGCAGCCGGAGGTGGGAGCGAGCCACGAGACCCCGCAAGGTAGCACCCCGGGCTCCGCGGTGGAGGAGACGTGGAAGGTACAGAAGGAGCTGGAGGAGGAGACTGAGAGGAGGCAGCAGCTGGAGAAGGAGGTCAAGAGCGCACAGGAGGAGATCCAGACCCTGCAGAATCGGAGCCCGCAGGAAGCGGTGGTACAGAAGGAAGTGCTGAAGAAGGTGCCGGACCCCGCACTCGAGGAGAGCTTCCAGCAGATGCAGCGGACCCTGGTGGAGGAGCAGCACAAGAACCAGCTGCTGCAGGAGGAGCTGGAGGGGCTGCGGCTGCGGTTGCGTGCCCTGGAGCAGGAGACCAGGAACGGGGGGCAGGAGTACGTGGTCAAGGAGGTCCTGCGCATCGAGCCGGACCGAGCCCAGGCGGACGAGGTCCTGAAGCTGAGGGAGGAGCTGGAGGAGCTGAGGCGGCAGAAGGGCACCCGGGAAGCAGAGGCAGCCCTCCTGCAGCAGCGCATCGCGGCCCTGGCCGAGGAGAAGGAGCGGGCCCAGGAGAGGGTCACCGAGAAGGAGGTGGTGAAACTGCAGAACGACCCCCAGCTGGAGGCAGAGTACCGGCAGCTGCAGGAGGCCCGGCAGCGGGAGGGCAAACGCAGGGAGGAGCACGAAGAGGAGCTGAGCTTCCTCCAGGACAAGCTGAAGAGGCTGGAGAAGGAGCGGGCCATGGCAGAGGGGAAGATCACAGTGAAGGAGGTGCTCAAGGTGGAAAGGGATGTGGCGACCGAGAGGGAGGTCGGTGACCTCAAGCGCCAGTGTGAGGATGAGGCTGCCAAGGCTCGCACCAACCAGAGGGAGAAGACTGAGCTGCTTCGCAAGATTTGGGCCCTGGAGGAGGAAAATGCCCGAGTGCTGGTACAGGAGAAAGTGCGGGAGATTGTCCGGCCAGACCCCGAGGCAGAGAGGGAAGTGGCCAACCTCCGCCTGGAGCTCGTGGAGCAGGAACGCAAGTACCGGGGGGCCGAGGAGCAGCTGAAGAGCTACCAGAGTGAGCTGGAGGCGCTCAGGAGGAGGGGCCCCCAGGTAGAGGTCAAAGAGGTGACCAAGGAAGTCATCAAGTACAAGACGGACCCCGAGATGGAGAAAGAGCTCCGGAGGCTCCGGGAGGAGATTGTGGACAAGACGAGACTTATTGAAAGGTGCGACTTAGAAATCTACCAGTTAAAGCAAGAGATCCAGTCCCTGAAAGACACCAAACCCCAGGTGCAGACCAAGGAGGTGGTCCAGGAGATCCTCCAGTTCCAGGAAGACCCCCAAACCAAGGAGGAAGTGGAGTCTCTGCGGGCCAGGCTCTCAGAGGAACAGAAGAAGCAAGTGGATCTGCAAAGAGAGCGAGCCTCCCAGGAGGAGAAGATCAGGCAGAAAGAGGAGGAGCTGTCCCAGGTGAAGGAAAAGGTGGTCCAGCAGGAGGTGGTCAGGTACGAGGAGGAGCCCAGCCTGCGCGCCGAGGTGAACGCCTTCACCCAGAGCATCGAGGTGGAGCTGCAGCAGATCGACAGCCTCCGTGGGGAGCTGCGGCGGCTGCAGCGCCGGCGCGCAGAGCTGGAGCGCCAGCTCGAGGAGCTGGACCGCGAGCGGCAGGCGCGCAGGGAGGCCGAGCTGGAGGTGCAGCGCCTGAAGCAGCGGCTGGCCGACCTGGAGAAGGAGGAGGCGGAGGCCCGGGAGAAGGTGACCCTCAAGCAGAAGGTGGTGCTGCAGCAGGACCCGCAGCAGGCCCGGGAGCACTCTCTGCTCAAAGTCCAGCTGGAGGAAGAAAGGCACCGGCGACAGGTCCTGGAGAGTGAGCTCGAGACCCTGAAGCAGCAGCTCATCAACCTGGAGAAGATGGAGGTCAAGGAGAAGGTGGTCTTCTCTGAAAGCATCCAGGTGGAGAAGGGCGACACTGAACAAGAGATCCAGAAGCTCAGGAGCAGCCTGGAGGAGGAGAGCCGGAGCAAGAGGGAACTGGATGCCGAAGTGAGTCGGCTGGAAGCCAAGCTGTCGGAGCTGGAGTTCTGTAACTCCAAGTCGTCCAAGGAGCTGGACTTCCTCAGGGAGGAAAACCACAGGCTGCAGCTGGAGCGGCAGAGCCTGCAGCTCGAGACCCGGAGGCTCCAGTCAGAAATGGAAATGGCAGCAACAGAAACCCGAGACCTGAGAACCACCAGCACGGCGGACTCGGGGACGAACCTGGACTCCAGGCTGTGGTCCCTGGAGAGAGAGCTGGATGACCTCAAGAGGCTCTCCAAAGACAAAGACCTGGAGATCGACGAGCTGCAGAAGCGCCTGGGCTCCGTGGCCGTCAAGAGGGAGCAGAGAGAGAACCACCTGCGGCGCTCCATCGTGGTCATCGACCCCGACACGGGCCGGGAGCTGTCCCCAGAGGAAGCCCATCGGGCCGGCCTCATCGACTGGAACATGTTCGTGAAACTCAGGAGCCAGGAGTGTGACTGGGAGGAAATCTCGGTGAAGGGTCCCAGCGGGGAGTCCTCCGTGATCCACGACAGGAAGTCTGGCAGGAAGTTCTCCATTGAAGAGGCGCTGCAGAAAGGACGCCTGACCCCGGCTCAGTACGAGCGCTACGTCAACAAGGATATGTCCATCCAGGAGCTGGCCGTCCTGGTGTCCGGGCAGAAGTAGGCCCAGCCCGGCCCTCCACCTTCTTGGAAGCACCCAGCTGGCCGGCTGGCTCCCACCCAGAACCGCTGGGTCTTCTCCTCCGTGGCCCTGTGCGGGCTCTGAACCTGTGCAGAGCTGAGCCCATCGCCCAAGCCCGTCTCATGGTCATTCACCCTGGGTGAGGGACCCGCTTCATCCTCTGATGATCAGACAACCACAATGCCCCTCTTCTGTCCCTTTTCCCACACATTTCCATCAATAGACTCTTCGTGTGACACCTGGAAACGACCCAAAAAACTAAAGCCATGACGACCGAGGCGGACGAGCCACTCCACGCTCCGGCCTTCACACCCCCCGTGGAGACGCCCCAGGGCAGAAAGGCCTCCCTTCCACACACGTGTAGGTATACCAACGGACTGGGCCCCTCAGGGCTGCCAACCTGCACTCACGGCCCCCCCAGGATTGTGGCTGAGAGCCCACTTTCTGTCCGAAGCCTCCTGGTGACAGATCTGGGCTCTGTGCCAGAAGAGGCGCAAAGAAACCAGAACAGTGTATGGCCTTCGGTGCTAGAGTGAAGGTTAACTGTCAGCCAGACTGTCCACCATCAGAAAATGTGTTGTGGTTCTCAAAATATTTTCATGATGGACTGTGTTGCCGTTAGCCTTAGTTTCAGTGCCTTACAAGTCTTGTGTGTTAGCTCACTGGCATTTGGGTATGCTACACATTTGATTTTTCACCAGATGAATTTTATGTTCTGTGTTATCTCACGTATTATGGAAAAAATGGGATTAGGGATTCTATTTCTAGTGCAAAATAAACACCTGGGTGGCTTGATTCTAACTTCATGGCGTTTCTTCTTTTGCATGTGAAGCTTAGTTATTTCCCCTGCTCCTCTTGGCTTCTGGCCAAAAGGGATATTCCACATATACCAGCTCCTAGGGCAGGAAAAATTGGCTCAAATATGGTAACAAGAAGGAGAAATGATGTTTTGGAAACCTTGAAACAATTTATTGAGTTGCTTTATACAAGATTAACAATTTTCACACCACCCCCCAACACCAACATCGTCGCGCCGCACAAAAGCCACAGCCCCTCTCACACCTAAGGAACGGCTGCTCCAAGGAAAGCCCCGCAGCGCCGCAGCCCCAGACCCCGGGGAGCCCGCTCTGCCAGCCCGTCTGCCCAGCCATGGCTGTTTAGGTCATTCACTCTTTCATTACCACAAATAAAGCATAAAGAAGAAAAAGAAATCTCATAAACTCCCCATCAAAGAAACGTTTCCCTGAGGCAAGAGGCATCACTAGATTCCTAAAAATGAGGGTATTCAGCTCCAGCTGCACACTCAATGGTACATGGGGAGGAGGGTGCGAGCGCTGCAGGGAAGGGACCTTGGGTGTTCTTGGGCGGAGAAGCCTGGAGAGTTCCCACTGCTCAGTGTTCACGGAAGGCCTCTGCACGGCTCTGAGCTCAGCAATACAAATCTCTTCTTTGGCTCTTTTGCTACTACCTAAGACTACTCTGTAAACAAACTGGAAACCCAAGTTGCAAAAAAAAAGATTAATATATAAAATAAGGGATAAGGAATCCACTTATCCACGTTAGCCAGATGTGAAACACATGTTGGTTCTTACAAAAAAAAAAAAAAAAAAAAAAAAAAAAAAAAAAAAAGCAGAGGCCTAGCCGGATAACTGAGTGAGGTCTTGCCCCGCTGGAAACAAGGCAAACCTCTGCATAACTGTGAGTTACTGAGCACTGTACCCTGGAAGGCAGGAACCAAGAGAGCTGCCTGTATCTCCACACAGGTGTACATTCTGAGAAGGCTGTTGACTCTTAACATATTTGCAATCACTTAGCTGAAGCAGTCAGTTCAGATAGGCCTTGGGGGACACACTCCACAGGACAGGCAAGTGCCCTAAACATCCGTGTGAAGCAGCCGCTGGCTGAATGCGCTCCAGGGCAGCTGTCCTGGCCTGTCTCCGGCGCGCTCTCCCAGCTCATCAGCGCACCGCCCTCAAGTCAGCGCACAGCCCTGCTGCCCGGAGAGCCCCAGGACGTCAAGGCCTGTTTCTACATGGCAGATGCTTCACAGGGGCCTGTTCCTGCAGCTCTGCCTGAGAATGGTTTCTAAATAAAACAAACTGGAATGTCTTTGACTTGGAGCCCCTCATATCCTTGGCCCTCAGAGATGAAGGGCTTTGGGGCTCTTCAGTCCACCTGAATGAACTCTGAAAAAACAAAACGGGGGCCCTGGCTATACTGGGACCTGGGGTCTGGGGGCCCAGATGACCTTCAAGTCAGGATGGCAGATTAGGATGTGCAACTGTAAAAAACTCAAACTGGCTATGTCTTAAATACAGACAT